CCATGAACCATGCTTCTTAGGCACCATCAAAGCAAGAGCGACACATGCATTGATGCTCTCCCCACCAACCCTCCAGCAGTAAGGTCTTGTACCTACAATTGCAACTCCTCATACTCAACTGGTCTCAATATGTAAGCAAGCCTGTTAGGTAATCGGTCCAGAGATGAGGACTATATCATATTAAATCTCTCTAAATGGTGGTAGTCCCTCTGGTAAGCTGTTAGTCATGGCATCTTAAAAGTAGTTTAGTAGCGGCTATACCATCTCTAGTAACTCTATCTCCTCCTCAGTCCCCTCTAGGATGACTATGATCATCACCAATGGAGCCTCCTGCATTTACTGCAAAAAGTTGGCGCATAGACCACAGTCTCCAACTTCTTCAGCTGATGGGCAAAAGAAATATGTGTGTATCCTCCTTCATGAATGAGGTGCTCTTGAACCTATAATGTTAAGTGTTGCGATCAAACTATCATGGTCTCCACAAAAAAATATGACAATCATCAATTGACACATCACACCATACCTACTCTTGTAGTTGCTCCAAAATAAGGAACTCTACCAAACATCGCTGATCCAAATGCGTCTCATTCAAATTGTTCAACCAGGCCAAAGCATAGAGTTGAGAATGTTTAAGAGCAGCCAAGTCTAGCTTCTTCACCATAAGGGTAGAAACTATATTTTCACAACTCCATCAATAATAAGATTGCATACATTCCCTCTCACAGTACACGTGGTGCAAAAGATGTTATATCTCAACGAAAGAGTGATCTCCATTTGGTTCAATCTGTAGAGTCGTACTCACAACTAGCATGTCATTCTCAGCTACATGGAGTCGATACTCCCTGCCCTTCTACTTCCTCACTCACTTCCTCAATTGTACCCTCCTCCATAAGGAAATACACTGCTAGTAGGCCAATAAAAAGCAATGTGTCCATATTCATGACACCTAAAGCACTTCTTGGTTGGAACTGTGTTGGGTGGCTACTCCTCTCAGGCTTCTTCCCACTCCGATCCGCTTTGTCATCCCTCTGACTAGCCTTCACACCTCTCCATGTGTGCTACTATTGATACCTCCAGCTGTGGGTGTCAATTTGAATGAAGGTCGGTGTATGCTCTGCTCCGATGTCTCTCCACCTTCAGTGTCAAAGTATGAGCATTGCCCAACGACCAATAAGGTTATAGCTATACAACATGGTTGATGACTAACTTCAGGCCTCCAAAATATTTGGTTGTGTTTGCATCTGGCTCTATCAGCTCACATTTCATAATGAATTGCTTAAACTCTATTGGAACTCAACTCACAACTCTCTCTGCTGTAGGTGGTGGAGCTTCAAGAACATGTCCCAACGGTAATGTGGAGGTAAGTACTTTCTCTGCATCTCTTTCTTCATCTTTTCTCATATATTAATCTTGTTGCTACCTTCTCTCTACTTCACTCTCTTCCGATTCTCCCACCAAAGTGAGAAGGCATTATTTATTTTTATGGTAGCATATTTCACTATTCTATAAGCTAGCATCTCCTTGTACTCAAAAAATCTCCTGCAGTCTGCAACCAATTCATTGTCCCCTCAAAATTTGGTATGTCTACCTTTACTCTCATATCGTCATGCCCTCCAAAAGATACTCTATCTCTCAAATTACTCTGATAGTGAACCTTAAAGCGTAGTGGCTAGTCCTCCTCTCCACTAGAATAATCGTTATGGAAGGCATTGACATTTATCCCCTCTTCTGTGAGCATCTATATCACAAGCAATGGTGATATCACTATTGGTCCAACCCTCAACAAGCCTTTGCAGAAGTCAAATGATTTCCAAATGTATCTCCTCCATGGAAAGATCCCTATTAGTATTCAGTACATGTCTCCTCAGTGTCATGGTTAAGATTTAAGTTAAGGGTGGAAAAAAAAGTGTTGTGGGTGGTTTAGGGTGGAGAAAAAAAATTAGGTTTCTGATTTGAAAAATCAGGAAGGAGGAAGGGTTTTGGGTGGGGTTTAAGTTAGTTATTTATAAAAATCGGTAACCCTATGATAAGGCTAAGAATAGGCTAGCTTTGATGTCAAATGATACAGAAATCGATATGGAAATAATGTGAGGAGAAATACAACACAACTACTAGCAATTTTATAAAAGGCAAAAATTGAATATACAACAAACTGACAACAAATAACAATGGGAAACACAAAGGATTGGGGTGTTGGTGATGTTGGTTAGGGTTTAGACCTTTGGGGTGGTGGCAAGGAGGCGGTAGCAAGTTAGAAGAGGAAAAAAAACTATAAGTTTCTTGTTTTATGTGATGCGTCAGCAGGCAAACAATATTGGGGTCTTGGAGCAATGCGGGAAAGGATAAAGAAAAAGTAAAAAAAAAACACGACATAAAAATCAAGATACAACCAAAGCACCACTTAGAACTCTATGATATAGTCTGTAGAGTAAGAATGAGATGATGACGGCTGTCCCAAAGGAAATCACAAAAAAAAACTAAACACCAATAAAAGCAAATGTATATTCTTAGACAACTAGGAGTGGGCTCACTCTTAAAAAAATGTGACACTCCCAAGACTAGAGGGTCGGTTGGCTATCAATAACCCTGGACTGAACCCAACCCAAGTAAATAAAAGTTGGCTTGGTTTGGCTCTATTTCTCCTTTTTTATAAGGTCGTTTAAACTGAGAATTTTAAAATATGGTGTTTTAAAGTTCAGCTTTTTAAAGCTGAAGTACTATTTGGAGAATGGTTTCGCCTTTCTGCGTTCCTTCAATTCTTTTTCGTAGGAGGGGAAGGAGTTGGTCGTGAAAGAAAATCTCGTCAGCGGTGGAGAGGTCGAATTTCCAGAGAGTGGTGGGTTTGGTGAGCTTGAGAGGGGCGTTGATGAAGGAAAAATCTTCTCATGCATCAAGCCATTGGTGTATTCTCGTCCATAGCTCGCTCGTTCTCTTCGTCAGAAGGAAGAAGGAAAACCACCGGGGTATATCTACTGCCAAGTAGATCTAGCAATTTGATCTCGAACACCTTGGACGTTCTGATGAGCATCAATTGTTTGATTTGTGGTTTGGATTCTGTATGATCGAGTTTTGAGGAAGGATGGAGTAGATCCAGCGAGCTTACAACGGTCGGAATGCGACGGTAGTGGGAAACAGGATGTCATTAGGTACCTTTAGGAGCCTCTCCAGTGAGTTGCAGTCGAAGCAATAGTTGAAAGAGGCAAGTACAGCGGCGTTAAAGACGGAAGACTAAGAAAGAAATTTTCAAAATAATGAAACACTGCTAAGAAACATCGGAACAAAGTTCCCATGTCGCGTCCTCAAAACGAAGATAAATGTCGTTCCGGTCAACGCATTTTCGGAGAAATCGGCCAGCAAAAATAACGGCCTACGTTGTCTCGACATTCGCTGGAATGTAACGGAGGTACAACGCGCTTTCAAACTGACCTTAAGACGCCTCATATCATGACTTAAAAGGAAAAAGGGAATAAAAAAATATATTTGATTAAAAGGACAAAAAAGTAACTGGTTAAGATGACTTAATAAATTGTTTTATAAAATGAAAAATGTAAAGCTTAATTTATAGATTCATCAGCATATTCATTTGACCATCCATCTTAGGCATTTGACCATTCATCTTAGGCATTTGCATAAAGATTTAATACTTAATAAAGTGATAATTATTCACCATGCTCATTAAATTTAACATGTTATTCATTAGTTTTTTTTTTCAGAAAAAGCTTTGTTGAACTGATATAGGAGTGAGTTTGTTCATAAGAGAAAATGAACTGTTATAAATATGTAGTTTGTTTGAGTTACATGTTTGGTCACTTCTTATATTACTTATTTCGTTGTATCAAGTTGAATAGTCATATGTATTTTATTAGAGAATGTTTACTTATATATTGGGGATTAATGTCTCTTTTTATTTGAATATTATTCTGGAATAACATTATCTTTAAAAATATTTCAATTTTTTATGCATAGATTTATAACAGCAAAGTGTTATAAATGGGAAAACCAAACTTTAGGTTTTAGATATGTAAATTCATAAGAATTGTGTGGGACGAGTGCAAATTTCACAAACTTTACTTAGTGCATCAATCGTCCATAAATATCCAATGGACTTTATTACATCACATTCAGTTTTCCGTTTATTTACAGAAAAAAAAAACATATCATACTCCCACAAATTTTTCAAGGCATGTTTTTAAGCAACAGATTGATAATTTGAAACACCTAGAAATTATTTATGCCCGTGGAAAATGAGATGAAAGTAATAACCCCTCAAGGAGACATCCCATGAACTGCGGACAAAAAATGCAAAACTTCACCTATAAGAAATCAAGCTCAATAATTTACAAAGCAAAGGCTAAACTGCTTGCAACCAATGAAATCATTCCATAATTGCAGTTTTTGATTAAAAGCAGATTAGATTTATAAAATATAAATTATGAACATGAGCCAAAATATCAACTGGAACTAGGGGAATAAATAAGTCGAGCCGAGCTCGAGCCATCCTTGACTTGAGCTTAAGCTTGATTAATGAATCAAATTTGAGCTCAACCTCGAGATGAATTCTACGTCTTTGAGTCGGCTCAGGAGCCTACGTTTTTATTTCGAAAGTGGGAGAATAATATTCATCCAAGTAAGTCTTATAATAAAATGACAGATGAAAAACAATTAAGAGATAAATAATAACAAATTACTTGATATAAAATATTAAATACTATTATTAAGCTTTTTAATAATTAAATTATTAAATCATGAACTTTCATGTATTTTAATTAAATTTTATATTAATATTTTTTTAAATAAGCCAGTTCACAAGCTAACGACTAGAGTTGGGATCAGCATGAGCTTGGCTAGTTGGCTCATTGAGCTCAGCTCACGAGTCACTTATCGAGCCGAGCCCAAGCCTGATCACGAGTCAGTTTAGCTCAATTAAATCCCTTAGCTCCAGCACTATGCTTTGTAAGAATGCAATTTCGCAAATAGAAGAGTTGGACGTTATGTGCTACCTCCATTGTTTATGTCGCTCTGTTCCACATTCTCATCACTCGATGATTCATCAACAATGAAATTTTCAACGGCATCCTCTCGCTTTAAGCCATCTTTGTGCTCTTTCGCCAATTGCAATAGCCCGGGATGATTCCATATCTTAATAAACGTGTGCATTCCACTGAATGTCAGCTTAACTTAAAAATTCAAGGGAGATTTACGTAAAAACTACAGAAATCTTGTGTCTTTACATATCAAACACCCAAAATTTGATAACACCTTGGTGTCCTATGCATGAAAAATGTGAATTTCATTATTAAAAATGCACTCATGGTAGTATTTTTGATCTGATGTTAGAGATTTGAGTGGCATGCATGTAAAAGTGGCATGCATGTAAATGTTTAGGTGTTAGATATGCAAATACATAAGAATTGTGTTGTATGTGTATGTAAATGCCCCTAACTTCAAAGCAGTAGACTGGAAATGGGCCTTGTACCTGAGCGAGAGTCTGATAGGCTACAAAGAAACCAGTGCGCCTCCTTCCTTGGTCGAAAGAAACTTTGTTTACAGTAAATCCATGCAAATCTAAGAATCTTCTGTACAACTTTCTTTGCAATGGAGAAAGCTTTACGGTAATTACAAAAACAGTCTTTGGAGGTAGATCTTTCTTAACCACATTCATGTCCATTCGTTGGACAAATCCTTTAAGCTGTTCATATAAAATATGTGATCTTTGGTTCATAATTTTTACATCAAGTGCAGTAGAATTTGTGTGTTGCCCATTCTCGATGGGATTCTGAAACCTGCATACAACGTTAAATCAGAAATTGAAGAGCACAAACAAATAACATCATATAGTCAAATTCAATAAATGATAAAGGAAAGAGAAGTGTCAAAATAGTCCCAACTCATTTTAGAGATCCATTTTAATCATAGAGTATAAAAAAGTGTCAATTTAGCCTCCAAACTCTTTCAATGGGATCTCAGATATTCCTCTCCGGCGATTATTTCAGCCCATATTAAAAATTACAGGACGAATTTGACATTTTCATAAACTTTGGGACTAAAATGACCCCATAAAATGGTCAAGGGATTATTTTGACACTCTACTCGATAAAAAAATTTAAAAAAATTGAAGCATCATATATACCGGTTCTGGAATTCATGACTACTACCCAGAAATCCTTCTCTTACAAAATCAACCATCTGTTCTTCCAAACAGAACAAATTTCTTATTAATGATAAAATAGAGTTATGTTTCTAGTGCAAAATGGGAAATTTTCTTACACAATAATATTCCATCAGATTGTTCTGCAGGGGAGATCCCGTTAAAGCAATTCTTCTTTGTGTCCGCACTTGTTTCAAAGCAAGGGTTATATCCGCCCTTTTGTTCTTGATCATATGGGCCTCATCACAAACCAGAAAATCTGGTCCATACTAAAGGAAAAAAATTTCTATTTTAATAAAAATAAGGAAATCCCAGCAGCACATTGACATTACTTCTTATTGATTGAAGAAAAAACTTATTCAACATCACACACAAAATTCAATGCCAGAAAGCACCATGGAATTATATTTAGAGAAATTTACCTAAGTAGCACACAATTCTTCTGTATTGGCATATCTCACACCTACACTTCAATGTTCACATACATGGCAATTTGGTATTTTAAACTTATGCCTGAAAAGGTGTATTCTTTTAAAAAGTGGCAATAGTGCTATTTTTTATGTGATTTTAAAGATTTGAGTGATGTGTGTAAATATGAAAGTTTAGGTGTGAGGTAAATACATAAGAATGTGATGTGTATGTTAGTATGTCAATGCCTTTTATCTGCTATATAGTGTGAGATCAGGAAATGAGCAGCATGATAGAAATGTTCTCACATGCATATTATATGAATCTTGATGGCATAATGAGTGCTTACTCCTAGCTATTAATCATAATTACATTGGTTAACTTTAGTTTATGGTTTAGTTGTCATTGTTGATCTCCATTTTGGATTAAGTTCAATCTCACCCTTGATAGACTAGGATTTTCAGCCTAGAGCATTAGGACCAGCCTCATCTAACCCTACAAAGAAACCAACTAGTTGACTTAGCCCAATCTAGTTTGGTTAGTTCATACAGAAATGTCTAATAAGACTTTCCATAGCTAGCCTTAGCCAATAAATTAAATTTTGGCAACTGATTCAATCCATTAACTTAAAGAAACAAACCATATTGGTCAAAGGGACCAAGCAAACTTTGTTAGTTCAACACAGCTCAGATAAGTTACCCATTTGGTTCCTATTGATCTGGTTAATCAACCTAGCTCCATGGCCTAACCCATTTGGTTCATATTGATCACAGTACTCAACCTACTCAGCCTAATCAACACACCCAAATAGCAAACCCAAAACCAATATTGGGCATAATCTAAGACCAAACTTTGACCTGGCTGGGCTCAAGCCTTGGTGAACCCTTAATCACCCATGAAATTAAAAGCCCGGTCTGTTGAACTTAAAGATGGTCAAAATGAAACTCTCGAGCTTGACCCTTAGATGGCTTAGCCCAATCTGGCTGGAAAAGCTAGCCAAGGGATATCCTTAGAACCTAATCAAATTAACCAGGCCTAAACCAACTTACATTGGACCTGATAGAGCTAAAATGCGCCCTAAAGGGACTCAATATGGCCTAGTAAATCTATCCTACTCCTAGCCTAACCAAAACCCAGATTAGTATGAATCAATTAAAGTTGTTGATCAGCTTATCCATTGGCTTCCTTCAACATGGCCTGATGTACTCAGTACATGGCTCAACTCAATTGAATCCAAAGCTATAAATGAATTTGAGCTTGAACCTAATGTGTCGACCCAAATCCAATGCAAATTACTCGAAAAGCTCAAATTCGCTTAAAATGTTGGCATCGCCCGCCTTCTTCTCACAATAGGCAGATTCAATCGTGTAAATCACTAACACCATAGGCTGTTCTGGACATTCTTTGCCTATATATAATGATATCATGTATGGAATGATAGATCATTTTTAATTTTTATTGAAATAACTACCCAAATATACAAATTGAACTGAATAAAAGAAATGAATTTAAATTTGATAAACATACTTGCAAAGCATAGCAAATTTCAGTAGCAATATTCCTATCCTTCACATGTCGTCCAAAAGATAAGTTTCGGAAAGCAGCATATCCTATCAGAAAAATGCCACCCTTAGTTCTCCACTTCGCAAGTAGTTCTGATCTTCTCTCTCTAAGAAAACAGAAAAATCATATCAGCATAATTAATAAACTCCATGGAGGTTTATAAACGAGTAAAGTGTTAAAATAGTCCCATGACTGTTTACATGGGGCTATTTTAGCTATAAAAGTGCCAAATTAGTCCCTGGACTCTTTAAATTTTCGCACTCAATAGGCTATGTGACTAAAATGGCCTCCTCCAGTGAGAAGTTGGTGGACTATTTTGACCCTTTTCCCATTTATAAATTCAATCCATATCTAAGCCTAAGGATAGGGAAGTCATCATATGGTCTCCTTTATGTCTCCTTGTGTAGTTCTGCATGTTCACGACTGTGGTGTTTGGGGAAGAGCAGCTCTATATACAAAGAAAACAGAATGAATATTACCTGGCAACATCCTCAAGCATCCAAACACGAAAAGGCTTCAAATCACTAGGCTTCCACTTCAAAAATTCTCGTCTCCAGTTGTGAAGCACATTTACCGGAGTAACAATAAGTGCAGTTCTCAAACCTAAATCAACGTTTCTCATGGCCGTGTACAAAAACGCTATCACCTACAACAAAATTATAAAAAAATAAAATAATATTATTAAATAGTTTCAGAATCTACAGAAAATGAAAGCATCAGAACAAAAACATTATTTAAGTAACGGAAGCCTTGAAAAAATTCAATGGATTATCCATATTGTATCAAGGTGCAACTCCTCAAGAACTTGGACAGATCATTCACCACATTTAGACAGAATTATCAAGTTGATCGTCTAGGATTTTAATTTTTAAACTCCAACCTGATATCCACCTATATAGTGACTGCAATACCGCTACCCTAAAATTGCACAAAAAGCTAAGGGCTTGTTTATACCGCTACCCTAAAATTGCACAAAAAGCTAAGGGTTTGTTTGGGGTCATTTTCTTTTTATTCTTTTTATTTTAAAATCATGTTGCTTTCATGTATTTTTTGCTGAATTTGTTTCTAAAACATTATCATTGTTAGTCCTAAACCCGGATATGAAAAGTGGAGGGTTGCGTTAGGGAAAAGTGGAGGGTTGCGTTAGTTGTCGAAAAACAGCCAGCGTAAAACTTGTCGAAAAAATCATGACATGAATTCTTTTGATCATTGTGCAAGTGTTAGGGCGTCCCCTGGAAGGGACGCGCCGTATAATCTTAATACAATGAAAAATGTGCAAGTGCCGCAAAAACGGCGTCCGGGTGCAGTGTCAAATAAGCAAGGGTTCTCACATTACGGACAGATGCGAATAAATAAGTTAATTCATAAAACTAATGAAATTAATATCAAGATAGAATCTTGGAATATAGGTACTCTCAATAGTAAATTAATGAAATTAGTTGATATTATGATTCATAGATTAATATCTTACGTATTCAAGAAACTAAATGGGTTGGAGAAAATGCTAAGAAGATTGATAACTTAGGTTTTAAATTTTGGTATTCTGGTAAGAGCTGCACTAGAAATAGTATAGGTGTAATTATGGATAAGAGTTTGAAAGATAGTGTTGTAAAAATTAATAAAGTTGGAGATAGCATTATAGCCCTTAGGATTATCATTGATACTAAGATTTTTATTAGTGTTTATGCTCGTCAAGTAGGTTTAAATATAGGGTCTAAAGATAAATTTTGTAATGACTTAGAAGACTTAATACAAATGATACATCTTGAAGAAAGAATTTTAATTGGAGGAGATTTAAATAGACATGTCAATAGACTGGCAGAAGATTTCAAAAATATTTATGGTGGCTAGGGTTTTGGAATGATTAATGAAGAAGGAAGAATTACTTTAGATTTTGCTTTAGCGTATGATTTTGTTATTACTAATACTTTATTCAAAAAAGGAGCTGAGCATCTTATTGCTTATAAGAATAAATCTAATAAAACACAAATTGATTATCTTCTTATGAGAAGAAGTGATCGTCAAGATTGTAAAGATTATAAGATCATTTCAAGTGAGGATTTAAGTACCCAACATCGTTTATTAGTTCTAGATTTTAAGATAAAGAGTTGTAAAACAAAAAATACTAGAACTCATCATCGTAGAATCATATGAGAGAACCTAAAAGACACAAATAAAATTATTTTTATGAGCGAAATTCTATATTTCAAAATTTGGGATGTTCATGATAAAGCAAATGCTGTGGGATAAAGTAACAAACACTATTAAACAAGTAACAAAAGATGTACTTGAAGAATCAAAAGATAAAATTTCTATCAATAAAAATAATTGGTGGTGAAATAATAATGTGCAAGAAAAGATAAAATATAAGAAGTTATGTTATAATACCTTTTGCTTTAGTTATGAATGGTCTTACTAGACATTTACAGGAGGAAGTACCTTAGTGTATGTTTTTTGCTGATGATATCCTTCTCGTGGATAAGATCAGAGAAAAAGCCCAAGAGCAACTTGAATGATGGAGGTTTACATTGGAGTCTAAAAGCCTTCATTTGAGTATAACTAAAACTGAATACATGGAATGTAATTTCAGTAGTAGTAGCTCTAGTAACAGAAGTGTAACATTGGGTGATCAAATTATTAAAAGGTGGGAACGATTTAGATATCTCGAGTTTGTTGTTCAAAGCGATGGCGATATAGATGGGGATGTTAATAGTAGAATTCAAGTTGGTTGGTTGAAGTGGAGGAACGTTTCGGGCCTTTTGTGTGATAGAAAAGTACCCATTGTACTGAAAGGAAAATTTTATAAGACGATGGTGAGACCCGCAATGCTCTATGGCGCTGAATGTTGGTCTTTAAAAAAGAAGCATAAAAGTAAGTTAAGTGTTGAGATGAGAATGATTATGTGTATGAGTGGCTTTACACTGAGAGAAAAAATACGAAATGAATATATCTGTGATAGGGTGGTTGGTGTAGCTCGTGTGACGTACAAAATTAAAGAAAGTCGTCTTACATGGTTTGGTCACATTAAGCGTCGACCATCTGATGATCCAATTAGGAGAGTAGATGTTTTAGGTTCGACTTATGTTAAGAAAGGCAGAGGTAGAGCTAGGAAGCCTGGCTTAATGTATAAAAAAATGATCTTACTTTATTAGAACTAAATGAAAGTATGACACTAAATAGGGCGCAATTGAGAAAAAGGACTCATGTAGGATTAAGGCTTTTTTGTTGTTGTATTAATTCGTTTCTAGAAACACTCAAAACACCTAAACGTTGTTTCGAGTATTTTTCAAAACAACTAACCATGTTATGACAGATCAAACTTGTCCATTAAAACAAAACATAAACAAAGCAAAACAAAAACAAAAACCAAATTGATCCCTAACAGCCCCAAAGCAGTTCTCATTAAAATTACAATTTTGTGAAGCATTGCATAGCACTGTTTCAAAAACCACCATATAACACTTTGATTCTAACAGTAAATGCCTGATGTAAATGCCCTACCCCTTGTGATGTTGGAATTAGGATGATTACAAACCTTGCATGACGTGCAAAACAAAAACAAATAAAAGTTAAAAATCCACAAGTTACAGCACTAAGATTTAGCAAAATTTATCACTATTACTGTAAAAACGACAAACGTGACAATTTCATCAAAACAAATAATAATAATAATAATAATAATAATAATAATAATAATAATAACAGCCATCAAAATTCTGAAACTCTACAATGAAATACCGATCCAGCAAAAATTTTCAGCAATCACAAAGTTCACAATTCAAAACAATAATCTAGCACAATCACATGATTAAATTCAATTATGTGCGCAAAACCAGCAACTAAACGAACTAAAACAAAAAAAATGATAGAAAATCTTCCAAAAGAAAGAAATAGGCCCAATGGCATCATAAAAAGACTCGCACAAGTAGCCATTCATTTGGTAAAGCACTCAAAAAATGCACATCTAATAAACACACTCAAGAATATAAACAGAAGTAGAATTTTATTGCAATATTCAATTTTCGTTGAGTTTTATATGCCTCAGCAATCCTATTTATAACACAGAAATCTAACTAAGAAACTTATCGGAATCAATGAAATCTAGTAAAAATTTCAACCCGAAAGAATTCCAACAGCAAGAATTCTTCCAAAGAAAATTCGATTCCAACATAAGAGGTGCAATGAGCTTTTAAGTATGAGTGAAAAACAACAATTGACTTTCATTTAAGAATATAGCTACACCAAGAAGGGAAAAACAACAATGAGAAGAGTATCGAAATAAATTTGCTGTGGGAAAAGCAGAACAACAATGAGAATATGTTTATGGGGTAAACAATTCATCTTACCTAAATTGTATTCCCAATAAACACAAACATTTTGCCCAACATAAAAATTTGGCGTAAAAGAAAGAAGCACTTAATCTGTCATGAAAACTTAGTTATATAATTGTGTCCTACAAATTAATTCATAAAGAAGTCTTATCAACCAATGACACGGGAAATATATGATATCCACCGTCAATAATAGACAAGTTATAAATAGGCGTAAAATTTTAAAACAAAAAAAATAAAACAATCAAAAAAATTGTTGGATGCTAATTTACAACAAGGGATGAACAAAGAGAAGAATCCACAATTTCGTAAATACAGCTTAAAAAAGAAGGATGGTAATGAGGCCAGCAACAAAACCTTCGCCTTCAACATAGAAGGCTAAAATTATGTGGCAAAATTGACAATATAAATACAGTGTGTATCCAATACCAACAAGAAAAGAAATTGGTTCGGTCCAATTACCAACCTCAACAATGAAAAAGCAATTACATGTTTAACATGAGAGAGACAACAAACCTGAAAAGTTTTCCCAAGGCCCATGGTATGGGCTAAAATACATCCAAGACCTTTATCCCCTGATTTAACCTTTTTTACAGACTGTATAATGTTCTCCCACATAAATCTTATTCCTTCAACCTGTATAACAGATAATATAGTCAAGAGGTCCACTATAAATTCACAAATATTGGACAAATTATTAAAAAAAAAAAAAGGTTTAGAAGTGGACAAACAAAGGAAATGGCATAAAAAATAGGCGCATGCATTATTTGGTTATAACAGAAAAATCAAACCAAGCTAAATGTTCTTGGACGATTTAGTTCAGCTTTAAATTTAGCAATTCGAATATTGGTTCTGATTAGTAAAATATTTGGTTGTTGGCATTTAGATCAGCTTTAGAATTGATAAAAACCAATTAAATAGTAAGGAATTGAAACCCATTTCGCAAATTCTCATTTTTTGGTTATGCTTGTCTTCTCCATTCGAACTTCCATGAAAGTAACCAATTGCTTTTCTAATTATATATTTTTAATTATACTTAATGCATATTAATTATGCAATAAAAAACTGCACAAATATTTTTTAAATATAGCTAACTTCAGTTTAGCCAAAACCAAACCAAATTAACCAAACAATTTATATTGTCACTTTGCTTCGGTTCTACAATTTATTCGATCAGTTTGGTCCAGATTTTTAGGCATTTGAAACCAATTGGTTTTGCAAATTTGTCATCCAAACCGTATAAACTGACCAAATGCACATCCCTAATAGGTAGTGGTAGTGGTAATATAATGAATAAAAATATAAGTATAATATGACTAAAATTAAAAAACCAAAACAAAAAACAAGACATAGGATTGGCAAACCACCTGATGTGGCTTCAACATCGTAGATAGACTAGGGGCAATTCTAACAGGATCTTCATCATGCTCCCTAGCAATATTAACTACATAGCCTTCTCTTGGATCATCTAACATTCGGGTATTTTCCATTGGTGAAGTGCTTATGTTAATTTCTGCTAGAGCTTTACCATGAGATTTATTAGTAACCTGTGCTTGCATTGATTTTAGATATTCTTGCCGGGCCTACAACACAACAACAAGAGTTTTTAAGAGAAATATGTAAAAGAAAACCGAAAAAAAATATTGGCAAACGGATTAATCCAATAAGAAACCTTCTCTATTGCTATTTTTTCCTTGGTTTCTTCTCCAAGTTCGGTATCATCCAGGATTCTCCTGATTTTTTTCTTGCTCCTCTTGCTGGTAGTAAAAGAGCAAAAAAGGAAATAACCACTTTTATCAAGAAAAAAAAGAAAGAAATGGAAGAATGATGGATCTTTAGACTATTTCTTTCGCATAAAAGTGTGTAGCTGAATTTACGACAAATAAAACTTCTAGGAGAAATATTTTCGCTTTATTTTTTCAAGTGGGTAGAGTGTCAAAACAGTCCCCTGACTGTTTAAACGAGGTGATTTTCGTACTAGAGCCTACAAAAGTGTCAAATAAGTACACGGCCATTATAAATTGGGGCTAAAATAGTCCTCTATCGAGACTATTCCAGCACATATTAAAATACTGTACTAAATTTACAGTTTTACAAACTTGTAATAAAATGACACTCTGCAAAGAATCAGGGACTATTTTGATACTTGCACTCTTTTTCAAGCTGTAATCTAAACTTTATAGAAACCAAACTTCATGCACTTCTTATCAAAAAAAAGTTGAGAAATTAGGAAACTAAGTTCTACACTACATAGGCTCAAACTAACAACTAGCCTTAGCATAGCCATTAAAAATCTATGACAAGAGGATAGTTGTAAATCATGTGTATGAATTACGTGCCTAATATGCTGCAGACAACAAAATTATGCAATTAATGAAATGAATTTTTAATTCAAAAGATAACCAATATATGTGGAAAGTTTATAAATCATAAGCAAAACCAAAATCTATAAGAGAACGAACTTATTATTAATCGGAAAATTTACATATATACCACCAAATTCCTATGTATTTACATATCTAATACGTAAACTTTAATTTTTTTACATTTATACCACCCAAATCTTCCATTTTGACATATAATATACCATAATTTTAACTTTTAAAAAGGTGATATACACTTTTTCATGCATAAGTAAGATGGCATGTATGTAAAAATTGTAAGTTTGGGTGTTAGATATGTAAAAGGAAAAGAATTGAGAGGTACGTAAGTAAATCTTCCATTCTTAATTAATGCCAACATTATAAGTGTAAAGATGATGTAATGTTACTGCAATTCAGTAGCGTCTGTTACCTTGTTGATACATCGATGCCAGCATCAGAAAAGGTGGAATCACTGTCAGAGCTCGATGTGGGCAAAACTCCGAGGGCCTTATCACAGTCGGTTATAAGCCGATGCAATAAAATAGGTAAACAACAGTAACAACTCCAATTATTAGCTTTAGCCTCTGATAAATTTTCTTTACCGAAATTCCTTGATATGCATGTTTCACAGAAAAGCATCTTACAAGTATTACAGTTCACCAAGTCATCACATTTTCCACACCATGCACAGAATTCACCTGAGAAAGTACCCTGTAGCATTGAAGTGCATTAAAAAATATTCAAAATTGTTAAGGATTTACCTATTAATGTGTGCTTATGAATGTACCATCTCTCTGGAAAAATTCAGTCATGGGGATACCATGCAACCAATAGCACAAAATGCTATCGTTATTAGCATGGGAAACATACATAGCACTCAATTCTTTTGTATTTACATATCTAACACCCAAAATGTAATATATACGCTTACAACAACTTGGTGTCATAAGCCTAAGCATGAAAAGGTGTGTTGTACTTTTAAAAGGATAGTCATTGTGGTATTTTTTATGTGATGTTAATGATTTGAGTGGTATGTACTTAAATATGAATTTTTAGGTTTTAAATATGTAAATTCCTAAGAATTGTGTGGCATGCATGTACATGCCCCTATTATTATTTTTGAACTCCCTAGAATTGGGTTTGATCATAGATTAACAAAAGATGAAAAACATTATGCAACCAGACATAAAATACTCGTCACCTCCCTCACATTCTCAGCTGCTCTTACACACCCAGTAAATACTTTCCATGAACTATAATGGATCTAACTTCCAACATTGATTCTAAAAAATATAATCTGTTATCAGGAATATTCATTGAAGTCAGAACAGTTTAAAGAATATAAAGGTTAAGTGTCTTTCTTAAAGACTACACTGCCAAAATAGTCCCGACTATTTAAATTGGGTCACTTAGTCCAAGAGTTTAAAAAGGTGCTAAATTAGTCTCTGGAATATTTTAATGGGGCCTAAAGTAGTCCCAACGCTCGTTGGGGACTATTTCAACCCATATTAAAGGAGTATGGACTAAACTGTCACCTTTATAAAATTTGAAACTAAAATAGACCTTACAAAGGTCAAGAGACCATTTTGACACTTCTCTCCTTTATAAAAGATTGTCAGTTTCATATTACACTGCATGACCACATGAGACAATTTTAAGAAAAAATACATGAATGTTCCTCCTACAATGTATGAATTGGCAGTGCTTTTAAAGTGAACGAAAATACATAAAAATGAAATTGATATTAAGAGTAAGTCCGTCTACAATAACAGGTAAATTTCAAAACCATATTTACCTTGACTTGCATCTTTTCATCAATAACAGATTTGCAGCGTCCACAGACAGCAACTCCCAAAAGTGGATGCCTGCACGCTAGAGAACTCTTAAGGGTATCAAAACACGCTGTACACAAAAACTCTTTTTCTTTTTCAAGATTTGTATTGTTTTCTAGATCTGGAGATGGCATGTTATCAATATCAATAATATCAATAGTTTTAACTTTCTTTGGTGAGTGAAGTTCTGTGTCGGATGCACCATCAGCTCTCGGAACAACACGATTCTCCATTATTAGGACATCGTCATCACTGTCTATGAAAACAGTCTTGCAACGCTTGCTCTTTCGTTCAAATTCCTCAATATCAGGAGAACGACTCCAGTCACCATTACAATTGTGGGTAGTACTTTCAGGTATATTTGTAAAATCCATATTATTCCCAATAGGTTTTGCAGATATATCACCATTATTAACATCCACAGAACCATTTTCAGGATAGTTTTGCAATGTAGAATCTACTTGACATTCATTTGAAGAAAAACCACTGAGGGCATCTTTATCAACAGGCATCTGTTATAGAATATTAATTTTTAGTTTGTGATTTGTACCTTTGGCAGACGAAACAAATATTTTGGATAGAAGGGTCGATAAGTTAGCAAAGTACTGGTAACAATAGCAAAACAGAGAAAAAGATTTCTTCAAAATTCTTAAACCTTTAGCATATAAATTTTAGTTTTAGTTAAAGCTCACTTACCCTGCATCTTTTGATTTTTTGTCGTTGTCGCTTCAAGCGCTGATGTAATTTATGTGTGAAATTGGCATCATCGTCTTCCCGTACCTAGGCCAGGAAAAAAAAAATTAGAACTAGAATTTTTAAATAAAAGTGGCATTTAGATACATTTTTTTTTTTAGAAAGGTGAATCCAAAAGGTAATATGGACGACTCAAATGCAAATCTTTCATACCACCCAAATTCCTATGTAATTACAAATCTAATAACTAAACTATACATTTTACATTCATACCACCACACAAATGTTTCATATCACATAAAAAATACAGTACTTTGACTTCTAAAATGTGAAACACTTTTTTATGTATAACTATAGTGGCATATATGTAAGAATTGAAGTTTAGATGTTACATATTTAAGTACATAGGAACTGAGTTGTATGTAAATCTTTCCAAAAAAAAAAAAAAAAAGAAAAAGCAATGAGACCCCCGTACTACAATTAAACAAATGATAAAAATGTAGTTTCAACTTAAAAACAAACAAGCCATTGAGGCGATTGCAAGCCTGGGCTACTTTTGACGTCACTTCAATGTCAATGGCCAAACACCAATTAGTATTACACATATTACATTAATAACCTGCATCCGTAAGTATAAACCTTTATCAAAATAAATAATAACCTGCATCAAAACGAATAATAAAATTAAATTCATCACATTAAATTGACACCAAAAGAAAATGACTACCCATATTAGAATTATAAGAAATTAAGGCCATTAATTGGCCGTGTTAGTGTTATTTACCTGTTTTATTAAATCGGCTTATAATTGACTGTGATAAGGCCCTTGGTGTTTTGATATTTGGCCAATTTGTAATTCATTTATCTAGCCAAATTATTACTGTAAATAAAAAAATAACAAAATATTGGAAAATGTTTTATTTATTTATCATCTAATTTATTGCAATTTATGTCACATCCATCTCAAAACACTTCTTCTTACCCAATTTCATAAAAATAAAATCAAGCTAATATTTTTATTAAGTCAAATTATTGAAATAGTTTCAGCTTAAAATAGCTTCAATACAATGGGCTGTTCAAACATTTCTTTTCTTTCTTACCCTTTTAGTTTCAATTAAATTATAATTTTCATTTCATATAAATTGATATGTTAAAAGAATTTTCGTTCCTTATTACACCACATTTGTGCATGTTCATATTCTCATTTTATATCACTGTATTTAACTCCTGGGCCTAATGTTTTGTTTTTTTAGTGAACAATTAATTTAATATTCAGAGGTTAAAGTTTATAATCATTTAAAATAAATAAAAAAAAACTACAAAATAAAACGATAAAAAACCATACTCAATTCATATTTAGGTTCCAAATGAATATTTCTTTGCATATCATATCGAATGAATTCTCCTTCCAAACAAATTCTAGGCTCAGTTATGCACATAAAAAATGCAAGCATGCGTCTCTAATTTTTAGGAATTGTACTTCAAAAAATATAACTATAAATTTTGTTGTTCACATTCTTTAAAAAAAATCATATGATATTGTTAACAAATTCAAAAGATAAACTGTATTTTAAAATTATATGAGCATAAACCGTACAAATTTTGGACTTAATTTTCAAGATTGATGATAGAATATTAATTACTTAAAATGATTAAATTATATGATAATTAAAACATTATTATTTATAAATCTCAAAAACTTATGAAAGTATACTGTCCTGTGTATTGGATTTAATTTTTAAATAATAATAATAATAATAATAAAGTATTATAAATATTTATTATTTCAAATAATAAAGTCATACATAAATCTAAATTATTAAAAAAAATAGATTTCTCAAAAAAAAAAAGACCATGTGCATTTTTTCTGGTTTTCAAAAAACTATAAAATATATAATCTAAAATAAAAAGTTCAACCTTTCTGAAGTTTCTCTTTTGCTCTTCAGAGAGATCAAGTTCTTTTTCATTTGCAATTGCATCACAATAGAATGGATCTCTTGAATCAAAGTCAATATCTCCAATCTCCTCTACCTAAAAAAGCAGCACAGTAAAACTTAGGTAGAAACATGAATATAAAGCGTGCAGCAAGGAATCTAGCTTGATGAAAAAAACCACCTATTCTTATATAGTTACATATCTAACACCTAACTTTGCTTTTTTACATTTATACCACCTAAAATTTTCACATCACACCCAAAGTACCAATATTTTAACTTTTAAAAGTGAAATACACCTTTCCATGTAAAGTTAAGATGGCACGCACATATGTAAAAATTGAAGTTTAGGTGTTAGATATGTAAATACATTGGAATTGAGTGGCATGTATGTAAATCCTCAAAAAATAATATAAAGAAGACAAATTTAAAAGGTCGATGAAAAAAGGTTAAGCAATTAAAAATAGTGGATCAATTTAGTTGCACTATCAGTTGATTTTGAAATGGTGATGAAGGAACAACCAAAATGTACAATAGCGGCACTACTAATATGTATGACCTATTAATCAGCACCTGCACATCAAAGTTATCAACATAATCTGAACTACGGTGAAGAGACGGGGCATTTACAGACAAATCATTCAATTAGTATGTATTAAGATATTTAACACCTAAGCTTTAATTTTTACATTTATACCACCCAAATCTTTTTACATTTATACCACCCAAATACCACCCAAATCTTTCACATCAGATAAAAAATACCACCATTTTAACTTTTAAAAAGTGAAATACACCTTTTTATGCATAGGTAAGTTGGCATGTACGTAAAAATTGAAGTTCGCGTGTAAGATATTCAACTACATACAAATTGAGAGGTATGCATGTAAAGCTTCCTAAAGAGAAACCAAGTCACACATGAAATGTCCAATACTTTAAGCTACCATAATGGTTCAAAATTTTCCATCCACTTACCCATAATAATTAAAAACGAAACATACAAGCATGAAATGAATATAAAAAGATATTTCAGTGAGCCACTTTTGGACAGAAGTGATCGAAAATAATGGCAGGGCAGATTGTAAAAAATAAACTGCCAAACGAAAGTTGAGAATTTAAAAACCTAGCACACAATTCTTTTGTATTTACATATTTCAAACTTAAACTTTCAAATTTATAGACATATCACTTTGGTGCTTTAAACCTAGGCATGATTTCATATTTTCATATTGGCATGCACCAATTTTACGTGATTTAATCAACTTTTATTCTTGTAATTTACCTTTTTATGTCACCTTATTTATCATGATTTTATGCTTGTAGAAGGTTTTCTATGTTTTTTTGTAAGTTACAATTGTCAAACACGCAAAACAGAGTCGAAACGCAAAATATAGTGTTGCCTAGCGCAGTCACGCCAGAACTGGGTGTGACAAAGCCGACTTCAGGTGTGGTCACGTCGTCGGACCGCCAGATCTCATTTTGGAAAGTTTTTTCATGTCGATTTTTGTTGCGTCTTTAAAAAGGAAGCTAGGGCTAGAAGCATCCTTTGGGGATGATGAGAGTTGGAGACGGCTGGAGAAGAAGTTTTTTAGAGTTTTCCTAAGTTTTCTCTTCCTCACTTGGGATTGAGGTCCTAAGAATTTATTCTACCATTTCTTTGTATTGTTCTTATATGTTTTGACAGGTTATTACATAAGACAGGAGTTGGCTGCTGTGGAACAAGGAATAAATCATTTTGTAAGAGTTTACTTTTCAATTTTACTTACAAAAATGGTTTTGCTCGGATGTTTTTTCGATTTTCCTTCTATTATGTGTAGCTAAAATTTCTTTGCGTCTCAGATATTTTCTTTCCTTGTATAGTTTTCCCAAGACATCAGGGCATTTTCATTATTGTGTTAATCATAGAGTTTCATTTACTCATGATTTGATCAATTAGGATATTAATACATTTTGTGATTTGTGACTCCTACCCGTTACGTAAAGAAACGAAATGGTTAACCACAAAATCTGGGAATAAGACATATTTTATCGAGGTTTTGCAAACTAAAAAAAAAGAGATCGAAACAAATATGTGGGATGCCATGGGGCTTGAGGGTCTCAACTTTATGGAGTATGACATTCTTTCTGCGTAGACATAGGCATAAGGAGGAATTTATATCCCTGTTGACAACAATCACGTTAAGGAAAGTCTACGAAAATCATGAATTATCGCATTACCTAAATCACAGTTGCGCGAGCCTCACACATCTTGAAGAACAGTAAGACTTATCTACCGCTGTTTTCTGTCTTTACCAAATACATTATTTTTTGTTTTGCTTTTAAGTAGGATTTTAGGAAGCCATCTCCTGTTTGTGATTACACAAAACTATGCTTAGAAGTTTAGTCCACTAGACATTCGTCCATCAGAATAGTTTTTAGCCCTTTTCCTCATGGTATCGATACACGATACTTTTTAACTGCACTATTACTTGACATGTATACTTGCATTATGCAGCCAACTTACATTGAGGTAAGTTTTTGCACGTAAAGTTTTTGGCGTGATTGCCAGGAAAAGACGTTAAAAAGAATTGCGATGTTAGGAAAACAATACTTAAAAAACTTAGGGTCTATGTTTGACACTTCTGTTATTTTTCTCTATTTTTCTGTTTTATTTTGTTCATGTTTAAATTATTTTTCAAAAAAGAAAAAAGAAAAAATGTTTGAACATTTTTGAATGGCAAACACACATGAAAATCAATTTATATCCTTCGAGGAGTATAACAACATGTTGATGGCTAGCCTTCACAATTTTTCCCCTCCTGACATAGGGACTAGGCTTGATCACCCCTCTTCCAATACATACAATCCTAACTAGACTACCTACCAAAACTATAATTGAAACATTAATAACATTAGCATAAAAAACTAACATCGGGGGGCAACTCAAGCCAAACTTGTAGATAACAGAGAGAATTGGTGCAGAGACCGCATTTGTCAAATTCAACCTTGGGAAGTCACCTCAAAACCTCAATTTAGGAAAGATCACCTTTTGTTAGAAGAATAAATAGTAAAATTTAGGAAAAAAATGGTTGACCTACCCAAGCTTCAATTCTAACAATAATAACCCCGTTGTAAACAAAAAGCAATGGGAGAGCACCCAAGTTGATCCTGTAGAAAGATGAAATAAGCAGGATAGTGACTACCCTTAAGAAAATGAGTATTTGGAGAAATAAGTAAAAAACCTAGGGAAGAAGTTACAAAGTCAAGTTGTCGATGCCCTTAGAAACATAGAAAATTAAGTTGGTAAGTTAACTAACCTACTAAGAAAAGAACCTCAAAGTATATCAAGGGTAGTGGAGGGTCGGAACTTTGAATTTGAAGAGTGGGATGAATTTTATTAAAGAATGACTGAGGAAGAATCTGCTCTTCTTTCCTTACCTCCTTGCATTGTGAGAGAGATAGTTAAGCCTATAATATCACCATAGAAGTGCCCCAAGAGGAAGAGTTGGAAGACAACCCTAGGCAGAAAAAGAACCACGAAGAGTTAGATCCATAACCCGAAGAATCTAGGAAGAATCCAACCCCAAATTTAAGAAACCTGGAATTTTCTTTTAGCGAAAATAACACTTATATACAAACATGTGAAATAATTGAGAGAATTTTGGATTAAGAAAGACATGTAGGAATGATAATCAAACTCAATCTACTACATAACCTCAAGATGATTGTTTTAGAACTGAGAAGAGAAAGTTGTAAGAAAAACTAAATTTTGAGGATTTTGTAGAAATTTCAGGATCAATAAAAGATTCGGCGATTGATCGGTGATTACTAAATTAGAATTTTGATCCTGAAGGAAGCCTTATTCATCATGTTGAATAGGTTAAACTAAGCACTATCGGGAGAGGCAGCCCATACGTTATCTGATGTGTTAAGCATGTTTTTAATTTATGCATTTGTTTTAAATTTTAGTTCGAAAGTTGTTTTAAATTTTCATTTGTTTTGGTTTTGAGTCTCGTCTCTCTACAGATTAATTTGCCCCTGATAGCATAGTAGGAATCGAGAACCCCCGAATTTTTTAACAGTTTCTAATTCATGCATTATTACATAAATTGCGTACTTGTTTTTCTGAGACTCATGTGACCGTGCATTTACTCATTTCCTACACTTACCTGCTTTTTATTTCTATTACTACTTAATGTTATATATGTGATGGAAAGAAGCAGGGGGGAGAAAATGAAATGTTGTTATGAATCTAAAAGATATCTCACATAACTCAATAGCGAATAAAAATTAAATTTGGCAACTCCTGTTCGGAATTCTGAATTATTTCAAACTAATTATCATAATTGAGTAAAAGTAAATAAATGTCATTCGGAAAAAAATTAACTTTAATGAGTAAATAATAAAATTCAGAACTTAACACCTTCAAATTTTACATAAAAGAACTCATAGATGATTAAAAAGATTTAAGTCTAGTGTTAAGTAACAGCCCAAAAAAGTTCCTATCTTTTTCCGTTCATTTTAATCAAGTTCAAATTATCTTAAGTTTTAACTGAAAAGATAATCAAAAAGGTGTGGCAATAAAACGTCAGTGTAGAAATTTACTACTTAAGAAACACTACAGTTCACCGTATTTAAAATTAAAAAAAAAAAGTTTTCAACCAGATATAGTAATTCTCAGGAGAAAATAAAAAGGAAAAAGAAAAAAAAAAGAAAAGAACAAAAAGTGAAAAACCACTTAGTAGAAGGTTGAGGTTAGCACAACAATTATCCAAAGAGAAAAATCATCAGGGTAATTGGTGGGACTCAAGTAATGAAACTTTTTAATGGTTAATAAAACCCTTTTTTAAGTTAACTTCAAATAAAAGTGTTAAGCAATATTGAGTTGGTTAAAATCCATTGAAATTGCATTAAAAACATTCAAGGTCAGTGAAATTTAACGATCTATAGGATTTTCTTAAAAATAAGAATGAGAGGTTAAGAAAAGGTCAAGTTATTAACCATGAAAGATAATTGATCAACAATGACATTTAAAAACCGCTATTTAGCTTTGATAAACATATGAAAGAATTAGAAACATATAGGAGCACCTATCATGTTAATTAAATCTCAACTTATTAATGTGAATACTTGAGATCAAGAAATAGGATAAGTCTAGAATATTGAAAAGTGACAATTTTACGTGATTTTACCAACTTTTACTCCTATATTTTATCTTTTATTTTGCTTTATTTATCATTTTATGCTTGCGAAATGTTCTTTGTATTATTTTAAAGGTTACACGTGTAGAACATGAAAAATAGAGCCAAACCGCGCGATAAAGTGTTGTCTGGCACAATCACACCAAAACTAAGCGTGAACACACCAATTTCTGGCGCGACCACGCCAGGTTCTGGCGTGACCATGCCGGGTTCTGGCATGACCATGCAGGGTTCTGGCGTGGTCATGTTTTCGGACCACTAGATCTTGTTTCAGAAGGTTTTTTCATGCCGATTTTTTTAAGCTTTAAATGGGAAACTGGGGTACGAATAGAAGCATCCTTTGGGGACAGAAGAAAGTTGGAGATGGCTGGAAAAGTTTTTGAGAGTTTTCCTAGGTTTCCTCAAGTCCCAAGGGATTCTTCTACCTTATTCTTTGTATTATTCATATATTTTGAGAGGTTATTGCATGAAAGATGAGTTTGCTATTGTAGAAGAGGGAATAAATCATTTTATAAAGTCTTTACTTTTCATTTTTACTTGCAACAATGGTTTTTGTTAGGATGTTTTTCTGGTGTTCTTTCATGTGTAGCTAAATTATTTTCGCATCTCTATGATATATGCGATGTGGTTTTGTGATTTTCTCTGATGACTTATTTCCCTATATCGTTTTCCTGAGACGTCATGTCTTTTTCATAGTTTTGTTAACCATAGAGTTTCATTTACTCCTAATCTGATCAATTAAGATGTTAACATATTTCGTGATCTGTGACTTCTCCCCGTTACGCAAATAAACAAAATGGTAACCACAAAGTTCGGGTAACAATAGATATATTTTATCCAAGTTTTACAACCTTGAAAAGAGATCTGAACAAATCCGCAGGTTATCATGGGCATTGAGAAAGCCCTAACTTCATGGATTCTAGCCTTCTTTTGACCTAGGCATAGACATAAAGAGAACTTTTTATCTTGTTGACAACAATCGTGTTGAGGAAAGACTAGAAAAATCACGAATCAACACATTGCCTAAATCACAGAGGCGCAAACCTCACACATCTTGAAGAACAATAAGATTTATCTGTCGTTGTTTTCCATCTTTACTGAACATGCTATCATTTTTTTCACTTTTAATTAGGATTTTAGGAAATAATCTCATAGTTGTGATCACGCTAAACTAAGTTTAGTAAACTAGAGATTCGCCCATCAGAATAGTTCTTAAGCCTTTCCTTATAGGATCGATACGCGATGCTCTTTAACCGCATTATTACTTAGCATGCATACTTGCATTGTGCGATCAACTTATTTTGCGGCAAGTTTTGACGCGTCAGATATGCAAATAAGTACAAATTGAAAGGTATGTATGTAAATCTTCCTAAAGAGAAACTAATTCACACAAAATGTCCAATATAATGGTTCAAAATTTTCCACCACTAACCCATAATAATTAAAAACTGTACATACAAGCATGAAATGAAAATAAAAAGACATTCCATAGAGCCACTTTAGGACAAAGGTGATCGAAAAAATAGCAAGAAAACATTTACTAATGGCAGGTCAGATTGTAAAAAATAAACTACCAAACAAAAGTTGAGAATTTACATACTTAGCACACAATTCTTTTGTATTTACATATTTCAAACTTAAAACTTACATATTCATACAAATATCACTTTGGTGCTTTAAACCTAGGCATGAAAAAGGAGTATTTCATTTTTAAAAGTGGTAATACTAATAGTGCTATTTATGCGATATTAAATATTTGAGTGACATGTCTATAAATATGAAAGTCTAGTTGTTAGAAATGTCAATACATAAGAATTGTTTGTTAACTGCTACGCATGCAAATTTGGGAAATATACACACAACACACAATTCTTATGTATTTACATATCTCACACCAAAAAGTTCATATTTACGCACACGGCACTTTTGTGCTTTAAAGTTTAAACCTATGCATGAAAAGATGTATTTCACTTTTAAAAAATGGTAACAGTGCTATTTTTTATATGAAATTAAGGATTTGAGTGCTATGCATGTAATACGAAAGTTTAGGTATGAGATATTTTAATGCATTACAATTGTGTGCTCTGTATGTAAATGGCCCAAGAAAAAAATTACCTCATCAACACCGGGAAATTTTAAACCCAATTTAGCGGCCTCTTGAGGTGTGTTTGCAAGGTAAACAGACGCCCAGTTCTTGCTGCCAAATGAATTACCCTCGGAACATTTCTGAGACTGAATAAATTCACTGAATGAATTCCAATCTCCTATTTTATTTCTATCACCAACAGAGAACATCTTCATAAGAAATCCACTAGCGCCAACCTCCAGAAGTTTGCCATGTTTCCTGACAAGGGGAAGAAAATTAAAAAGTTGGCAAAGGGGTATACATAATAAGAATTAGAAAATGTAGCTGAAGGACATACTTCTGTACAGGATGAGAGGATTGGAGGTACTCTTCAGCTTCCCTAATGTATAGATTGGTTTCATTGGAAACCTGGGAACCAACCCAATGATTCCTCTTCTTCCAAGCTTCAGTGCAACAGCCATTAGGAGCTTGACTTTCAATCCATTTATACAGAGCAGGGAGCTCGATTCCAGCACCATCGAGTTGCTCCTGCAAAAAGTTGAATTTCTAAAATGTCGATTCAAAGCAAAGAAAGATAACAAAGAAGAAAACCTGGTTCCAAGTAGAATTCGAGAGATTTAACAAACTTTCCACAAAGTTTCAGGCTTTACCATGCATAAAGAATATATCTCCCGCAATCCTTAGAAATATTTTCTAACAATTTAAAGCCAAATACTTTCTAACAATTTAAAGCCAAAGAAGTTCAAATTCAAGTTAGACATACAATGGTTCATCTAGCTGATAAAAGAACTCATTTCCAATGTCAAAAAAAAAAAGAGGTAACCATAAGCACACTGTTATGAATCCCACTGATAAAAAGCCATATGAGGTTGTTGGTAACTCCAATAATTGGAAGGAGGGAAGATGGAAAAAACGGACAAAATTCGCTTCATTCAATTTAAATTCCTCCCTAATTAAGAGTATTAATAAACTTGCAATAACACAATAGGACACTAAAGTTTATGGCACACACAAGAGAGGAAAATGAATTATGGGTGATTTTAAAAACAATCACTTAAATAATTTTTTAAAAATATTTTATTTAAAAAACAAGATTAATAATCAACATAAGATTTTTTTTCAAAAATCAATGGAGAAATGAATCATGCAAAAGTGATCTAAAAAGGTCACAACTAGTTGATTTTTTTTTTCTTCACAACTAGTTCTCGCACAATTTGTCCAAAATCAAGAGAAAATAGAATTTAACTATAATTTAACACAAGCAATTAAGATAACCATCATACATATCACAACATGGGCAAACTAAGGAAAAATCAGTGCGGCAAAATAAAGAGACGGAAAAATGCAAGTCAATTTATCATGCTTTCACACCAACAACTAGTCCACATCCAAGGTCCTCCACTCGAGAGTTCCTCACTTATTTTGCCACAACATAGTAACTAAACCCTCTTGCTAAAGGATAATAGAGAAAGCCAACATTCTCTACCAATCATAAGCAAGAAGACACCTTTAACCAACCGACTAGTGACACCAAAATCTCTACAAACATTTTGAGGTCAAAATACATTTGACAAAAGCAAATTTATCTCTTACAATAGCTATACTTTAAGTCGAGCGATACCCTCTTTAGAACTTTCAAATCATATCTTAAAGAATCCCTCATGAAAACCCTTAAAGTTCGCTCACTGGTTCTCAAACTACCTCTAGTTTAGGTTTTGAAAAACTCCACTTACATTAAGAGCGCTCGGCTCAAATCTTTAAATTTGTGAAATATATCGAGTATTGTTCGATCGTACAATAAAATCCACATTGTATAATATTAACAGTGAAATCTAATACATATTAATTAGCTCATAATTTCAGTTGATCGATTAGATTCATTAAGGAAACCAATCGCACAATATGATTCTCATTTTATAGCATGATTCATTCAAATTTCAAATTAATACAACAACAACAAAAACTTAATCCCACTGCGTGGTGTCGGCTACATAAATCATTTTTCTCCATTGTGTACTTTAGTGTCATATTTTCATATAGTTATAATAAATTATGATCACTTTGTATACAATAAGCCAAAGTTTTCCTAGGTCTACCTCTGCCTTTCTTAACATAAGTCGAATCTAAAACATTACTTTCCTAATCGGATCATCAGATGACTGACGTTTAATGTGACCAAATCATCTAAGATGACTCTCTCTAATTTTGTCTGTCACTGAAGCTACACCAACCCCATCACGAATATATTCATTTCTCATTTTGTCTCTAAGTGTAAAGCCACTCATCCACCTAATCATTCTCATCTCGGCAACACTTAACTTAGTATTATGCTTCTCTTTTAAAGGCCAACATTCAACGCCATAGAGCATTGCAGATCTCACCACCATCTTATAAAACTTTCCATTTAGTCTAAACGGTAGTTTTCTATCACAAAAAAGGCCCGAAACATTCCTTCACTTCAACCAACCAACTTGAATTCTACTATTAACATCCTCATCTATATCAGCATCGCTTATAACAACATAATCTGAGATATCTAAATCGTTTACATTTTTTAATAATTTGATCACCCAAAGTTATACTTATGTCACGAGAGCTACTACTACCAAAATTACATTCCATGTATTTAGTTTTAGTTTTATTCAAATGAAGACCTTTATACTCCAATGTAAACCTCCACAATTTAAGTTTTTCTGGGCTTTTTCTCTTGTCATATACACAAGGAGGATATCATCAGCAAAAGGCATACACCAAGGTACATCCTGTAAATGTCCAGTAAGACCATCCATAACTAAAGCAAAAAGATATGGGCTTAAAGCTGATCCCTGGTATAATCCAACAGAAATAGAAAAATATTTGGTCAATCCTCCTTCAGTACGAACACAGGTAACAACTCTAGTATACATATCTTTAATGACTTGAATATTATCAACACCTTTCTTCTCAAGAACTCTCCAAAGAATATCTCTTGGAACCTTATCGTAAGCTTTTTCTAAATAAAAAAAAAAATGTAGATTCTCCTTATTATCTCTGAACTTCTCCATCAAACCTCTCAATAAATGTATACCTTCCATAGTAAACCTGCCCGACACAAATCCAAATTGATTATGAAAAATTTTTGTAATATGTCTAAACCTATGTTCAATTACCCTCTCCCATATATTTAAATCAAATCCAAATTGATTATGAAAAATTTTTGTAATACGTCTAAACCTATGTTCAATTACCCTGTCCCATATATTTAAACTATTACACATCAACTTAATTCCTCTATAATTTGCACACTCTTATGCATCCCCTTTATTCTTAAAAATAGGGACCAAAATACTCTTCCTCCACTCATCGGAAATCTTTTCAGTTTTTAAAATAATATTAAAGAGTTTAGTAAGCCAAGAAACTCCCACATTTCCTAAATATTTTCACACTTTAATTGGCATATCATCAGGTCCTACAGACTTTTCACCCTTAGTTTTTTTTTTCTAAAGGCTCTTAAACTTTTTTTTACTAATGTGACGGTTAAAATGAAATGATTTATCATTATTAATGATATTGAGATCACTAAGATCGATCATATTTTCGAAAAATTCATTAAAAAGTTTATCAAAACAACTCACCCACCTATGTTGAATATACTTTTCTAAGAAAAACTCTTTTTCTAGAACAAATTTTTTATCAGGCACAAATCCTCTAGCTTTTGAGTTAAATCTTGACTTTTCTTTTCTTTTCTTTTCTCTTTGTTTGGCTAGTTTATACATATATTTTTCACCCTCGTTAGTATCTAATCTATTATAAAGATCACTAAAAGCCAAATTTTTAGCGCCAAGGATTGTTCTTTTAAACTTTCTACGGGCATTTAGATATTTTTCCCAATTCTCTAAGCTTTTACGTTTACAACAATTTTTATAACACAACTTCTTATATTTTATCTACCTTGCACATTATTATTCCACCATCAACTATTTTTAATTATAAAAACATGTTCTTTTGATTCTCAAGTACATCTTTTGCTACTTAATTAATAGTGTTTATTACTTTATCCCACATAGCATTTGTTTTTACATGAACATCCCAAATTTTGAAATCTTGAATTTTACTCATAAAAATAATTTTATTTGTTTCTTTTCGGATCCTCTATCTAATTCTACGATGACGAGTCCTAGTTTCTTTATTTTACAACTCTTCATCTGAAAATCTAGAACGAATAATCGATGTTGGGTACTTAAATCTTGACTTAGAATGACCTTACAATCTCTACAACCTCGACAATTTTTTCTTCTCAAAGAAAATAATCACTTTGTCTTTTATTAGATCCATTCTTATAAGTAATAAGATGCTCATCTCTTCTCTTGAATAAAATATTAGTAATAACAAAATCATACGCTAAAGCAAAATCTAAAATAACTCTACCATCTTCATCAGTCACTCTATAACAGTAGCCACCATATCACTCTATAACCGTAGCCACCATAAATATTTCTGAAACCTTCTACCACTCTACCGACATGTCCATTTAAATCTCTTCCAATAAAAATTCTTTCTTTAAGAGGTATCAATTATATTAAATCTTCTAAGTCATTCCAGAATCTTTCTTTAGACTATATCTAAACCTGCTTAAAGAACATAAGCATTAATAATATTAAAAATTTTAGTATCAATAATAATCTTAAGGGCTATAATTCTATCTCCAACTCTATTAATTTTTACAACATCATCTTTCAAACTCTTAATTACACCTATACAATTTTTAGTGTGAATCATACCAGAATACCAAAGTTTAAAACCTAAGTTATCAATTTCCTTAGACTTTTCTCCATTCCATTTATTTTCTTGAATACATAAGATATTAATCTTTCTATGAATCATAATATCAGCATAATATCAGATCATAATATCAGCTAATTCCATTAATTTACCATTGAAAGTACCTATATTCAAAGATCCTATCCTAATATTAGTTTCATTAATTTCAAATTAATTTAATTAATAATTTATTAAAATTATTTAATCATTTAAAATAAAGCTAATCATATAGCATGATTCTCATCATACAGTATGATAAGTTCTAATTCTAAATTTTTTTAATTAATGCAAGTTAATCGGACTTTAGTTTTAAATATTTAGGCATATTGTATGACATGACCTATATCAATAAGGTCTACTGCAATCACTTTAAATAAATAGTCCATTATTTTTTCTTTTTTTTTTTTTGCTGTTACCCATCATATGCATGTGATGATTGTCTTAATAGCCTATATACATGAATCATATGTAAGAGTCAAAAATAAATAAAATCTAATTTTGACACTAGTAGCTCCAGTAAAGTACTTTTTTTTCTAGCTTGATCATCAAGAATTGTTGGGCATATTGAATTACTATGTACATGAACTAGCCCTGCAGCTTTAAGCTACATTTTCTCAAGTCACGTATGCTCTTCTTTCAGTTTACTAGACAATTTAAATATTAATGCTCTAGCATATACCTATAATGTACTTAACCCGCACAAAAATGCATTATTAAAAAATCAACTC